GAAATTCAATAGAACAAGTAAAAAACACATTTGAGAGCCTTAAAAACATAATCAGTGAGTTGGAAGAGAAAATATCGGACTTAGAAGACAGAACACAGGAAAGTATACAGTCAAACAAAAAAAAAGAAGAGGAAATTATAAATCTAAAAATATCGTCGGGAATCTACAGGATACTATTAAAAAATCCCACATTCGGGTTCTAGGAGTTCCTGAAGGCATGGAGAGAGAGAAAGGATCAGAAGGCCTTTTTAGTGAGATACTAGCAGAAAACTTCCCGGGTTTGGAGAAGGACAGAGACATCCAAGTACAGGAAGCACATAGAACCCCCAATAAACATGACCAAAAGAGATCCTCACCACGACACATTGTAATCAAACTCACCACAGTGAAACATAAAGAAAATATTCTAAAATGTGCAAGAGAGAAACGTCAGATTACTCTCAGAGGATCTCTAATTGGACTCACAGCAGACTTCTCATCAGAAACCCTACAGGCTAGGAGGGAATGGTGAGATATAGCCCAAGTACTAAGAGAAAAAAACTGCCAGCCCAGAATAGTATATCCTGCAAAGCTCTCATTTGTGAATGAAGGTGAAATGAAGACCTTTCATAGCAAACAGAAATTGAAAGAATTTGTTGCCACTCGTCCAGCCCTGCAAAAGATGCTTAAAGATGTGTTACACACAGAAACAAAGAAACATGGCCATCAATACAAAAGAAGGTAAAGGAAGAAAATCTCTCAGTAAAAGATCACAGGAAGTTCAAAACATATATTAGAAAATATCTTGGCCGGCGCTGTGGCTCACTAGGCTAATCCTCCACCTTGCGGTGCAGGCACACCGGGTTCTAGTCCTGGTTGGGGCGCCAGATTCTGTCTCGGTTGCCCCTCTTCCAGGCCAGCTCTCTGCTGTGGCCAGGGAGTGCAGTGGAGGATGGCCCAAGTCCTTGGGCCCTGCACCCCATGGGAGACCAGGATAAGTACCTGACTCCTGCCATCGGATCAACGCAGTGCGCCGGCCGCTGTGGCCATTGGAGGGTGAACCAACGGCAAAGGAAGACCTTTCTCTCTGTCTCTCTCTCTCACTGTCCACTCTGCCTGTCAAAAAAAAAAAGAAAGAAAGAAAGAAAGAAAGAAAAAAAGAAAATATCTTTGGCAAATGGCAGGGCAAAGTCACTACTTATCAATAATCACATTGAATGTAAATGGTCTCAACTCTCCAATTAAAAGACACAGTTTGGCTGAATGGATTAAGGAACAAAACTGATCTATTTGCTGCTTACAAGAAACACATCTTTCCAACAAAGATACATACAGACTGAAAGTGAAAGGTTGGAAAAAGATATTCCATGCCAACAGAAACCAAAAAAGAGCTGGAGTAGCCATCTTAATATCAGGCAAAATAAACTTTAACACAAAAACTGTTAAGAGAGACAAAGAGGGGCACTATATAGTGATTAAGGGATCAATTCAACAGGAAGATGTAACTATTATAAACTTATATGCACCTAATTACAGGGCACCAGATTATTTAAAAGATATGTTAAGGAACTTAAAAGGAGCCTTAGATTCCAATACAATAGTACTGGGGTCTTCAATACTCCACTCTCAGAAATAGACAGATCAACCAGACAGAAGATCAACAAGGAAACAGCAGATTTAATCGACACTATAGCCCAAATGGATTTAACATATCTACAGAACTTTTCATCCTACACTTAAAGAATACACATTCTTCTCAGCAGTACATGGAACCTACTCTAGGATTGACCACATACTAGGCCATAAAGCAAGTCTCAGCAAATTCAAAAGAATCGAAATCATACCATGCATCTTCTCAGACCACAATGGAATGAAGCTGGAAATTAGCAATTCAAGAATCCCTAGAGCATATGCAAACACATGGAGACTGAACAACATGCTCCTAAATGAACAGTGGCTCATAGAAGAAATCAAAAGAGAAATCAAAAACTTTCTGGAAGTAAATGAGGATAACAACACAACATATCAAAACTTATGGGATACAGCAAAAGGTAGAGAAACAATCCAAATGACCATTGATGAATGAATACAGAAAATGTAATAAAAACAGACAATGAAATAGTAAAATAGTATTCAGAAAATGGCATTTAAAAAATTGGCAGATAGAGGTCACCTGTTCATAACCCCCACAACAAGAATTCTGCACCCATCCACAGACAAAATTCTTACTGTAGGAGCCTTGAGATTCAGGTAGAAGGCTGTGGAAATCTGGTGAAACCTAAGACCTAAGAGGATCATATCCAGAATGCAGGCCTGCACCTGGGAGACAGATGACAATAAGCCTAGAAATGGCCCAGTTCTCCCAAGGATATTGGCTACAGCCTTTTTTTTTTTTTTTTTTTGTAGCCAAAACCATCTGCCAGGGGTTCTAGGAGGAATCCTATGTACCAACACCTCAGCAGAAGGCAAACCTGCGTGTTGACATCAGCCTTGGCATTGACTGTTGGTGTTTTCCTATGGCTCAGCTCCAACTTTCCTCAGATGTGACCCAAGCTTAGTTCTTGCACAATGATCCAAATTTGCCTGTAACTCACAGCCTATCTGTCTGAACCTCCATGACAGACTTGTCAGCCTGCATCCCACAACAGATTTTTTGGAAGTCCAGTCTAGTTCTAGTCCCTCTTTCAGAATTATCCCACCTATGTAGGAAACTGCTTGGAAATGTATACCCATGTAAGCCACTGAAATGGGCTCACAGGCCTCTGTCGCGTGGTGGATTCTGATTCTGAAGGGGGTTCCTGTCTTGGCTCCAATCATTTTCATGGTATTTGGCAAACTGTCTTGCACGTGCATGAAACTGTTAAGAGATATGCCCCTGTGAGGGCTGCCAGAGCAGACTTGCTGTCCTACAGCAGATCCTAAGGGGGCCCAATCTGAGTTCTACCTCCTCCTGATGAAACTGAGCAGCTTTCATGCCTGTGCAGGGAACTGTGGACACATATACTCATCTGGGCCACCAAGACCAGCTCTCTGAGCTCAGGTTCCTGGTTTGCTTCCCCATACATCCCGGGTGTCCTCCTTGGGTCTTTCCCTGGGTCATCCAGACTGGGACACTGTTTCACCTCAGAGTCCTTGTAAGACTTGGGGAAACTTGGGCTTATGAGAGCTATACTTCTAAAATAGTTGCAGTGGTCACGGGCTTAGAAAACACAAGCCAATCTCCTCAGAACTTATGAAAAGACTTAGTGAAGAAGAAAAAGCACAAAGAAAGCCAAATGTTGGAGGCTGAAATTGATACCTATTTTTCCAATCAATAGACATCAATGCATGCCTGCAATCAAGAGCAAGCAGAGAAATATGACCTAAGCAGAGTGACAATGTGTCAGCAACTGACACCAATGCAATGGAGATATATGATCACTCAGGCAAAAAATTCAAAACAGCTGTTTTAAGGAAGTTAGGTGAACTTTAAGAAAACAGAAAAACTAGAAAATTTTCCAATTTAACAGACATTGAAATAATTTTAAAATGTCTAATGGCTCTTTTACGATTTGGACACTAAAGAATGGGTCTTGCAAAGAAGGGTGGTGAGAAGAAAAAGGACTCTTCTGCCATAATGAGGTGGTGACCAGTGAGTGCACTGTCAGCATTCACAGGCACATCCATGGAGTGGGCTTCAAGAAGCATGCACCTCAGACACTCAAGGAGATCTGGGAATTTGCCATAAAGGAAATGGAAACTCCAGATGCGCATCGATACCAGATCGACAAAGCTGCCTAGGCCAAAAGAACAAGAAATGTCCCACACCACATCCATGTCAGGTTGTCCAGAGAACATAACGAGGATGAATATTCACCAAATAAGCTGTACACTTTGGGTACCTATTTATCCATCACTACCTTCAAAATTCTGCAGACAGTCATGTGGATGATAACTGTTAATAGTCAAATTTATAAAACTGCAAAAAAAAAAAAAAAAGAAATACTGGAGCAAAAAATTGCAATGAATAAAATGAAAGATGTAATAAAAATCAGTAACAGCAGAAATGATACAACAGAAGAATCTGTGAACTCAAAGACAGGTTATTTGAAAATATACATTCATTGAAAATAAGAAAAAGGAATGAAAAATGCCTATGGGATTTATGGTATAGTGTTAAAAAAGCAAATGTGCAAGTCATTAGTGTTTAAATGAGTAGAGAAAGGGGCCATCACTGTGGTGTATTAGGCCAAGCCTCTGCCTGCTGTGTCAGTATCCCATATGGATACAGTTTGTGTCCTGGCTACTCCACTTATGATCCAGTTCTTGGGAAACGCAGCAGAAGATGGCCCAGTGGGAGACCCAAATGAAGTTCCTGGCTTCTCGCTTTGGCCTAGCCCAGCCCTGGCCATTGCGACTGATGTGCTTTAGAAATTTTAAAGATTTATAAAAATAATATATAAAGGAATATAGCTACTGAAAAATTAATTTTGGGGCCAGCGCTGTGGTGCAGCGGTTAAAGCCCTGGCCTGAGGCACCAGCATCCCATATGAGCGCCGGTTCTAGTCCCGGCTGCTCCGCTTTCAATCCAGCTCCCTGCTATGGCCAGGGATAACAGTGGAAGATGGCCCAAGCCCTTGGGCCCCCATACTCACATGGGAGACCCGGAAGAAGTGCCCGACTCTTGGCTTCAGATTGGCGCAGCTCTGACCATTGCGGCCATCTGGGGAGTGAACCAGCAGGTGGAAGACCTATCTCTCTATCTCTACCTCTATCTCTAACTCTTTCAAATAAATAAAATTAATCTTAAAAAAAAAAGAAAAGGTTAATTTTATGACTATGTGTAATACCTTTCTATTTAATATATATGCCTGAGGTATTATTCAGAAATACGCTAAAACAAAAGTAAACCTTAGTGGCTACTATTTTTTATTTTTTAATGTAAATTAGGAGACAAGAATAGTTAAAATAGGAATAGTTAGAGCTCTCCCAACAATCAAAGATTTTTCTCCTTATTTTTAATTTTTTTTTTTTTTTTACAGAATAAAGGAAGAAGAAGCCGTATGGTAGTTTGGACAGAAAATGAAATTTACCTCGGATACTCTTCCTTTAAATACTTTCAAGTAGGAACCATAAATGAACTGAAAAGTCTTCTACATGTGTCGCCAGCTGCCACTCTGAGGATACACAACATTGAGTATTCGGCACATCCTGTGGAACTTGCTGTGTTTTTAAGTTACTGTATCACATGCACTGTCACCAACAAGATTTGCATGGTGATATATAATGAAGATTTAAGACAGTGGGTGTTCCAAGACTTTGCACTAGATATCCCTGTTGACAGTTTTTTAGTTCCTCATTTTTTGTTTTCATCATTGCCAGAATTAGTACTCAGGGACAGACATACTATCTATTATTGTTACCAAAATTTCACTGTTACTGGAATTGTACAGACCACTGCAGGACATGGAAATCTGTCATTATTATCAGATAACAGCATTATTCATGACATTTTTACAGGTGAGACATTCTCATTCTGCTAAAATTATTCTAAATTTCACTGTATACTTTATGTTTTTGGTTTTGTTTCGTTTTGTTTGTTTTTGTTTTTGTTTTTGACAGGCAGAGTTAGACAGTAAGAGAGAGAGAGACAGAGAGAAAGGTCTCCCTTTTCCGTTGGTTCACCCCCCAAATGGCCGCCACAGCCAGCGCACTGCAGCTGGTGAGCTGCACCGATCCGAAGCCAGGAGCCAGGTGCTTCCTCCTGGTCTCCCATGAGGGCGCAGGGCCCAAGCACTTGGGTCATCCTCCACTGCCTTCCCGGGCCATAGCAGAGAGCTGGACTAGAAGAGAGGCAACCGGGAAAGAATCTGGCACCCCGACCGGGACTAGAACCCGGGGTACCGGCATTGCAGGCGGAGGATTAGCCTAGTGAGCCACGGCGCTGGCCCACTCTATACTTTATGAAGATGTAATCATTTTAAATACACAAATATATGATGCTTGTTAGTAGGTAAAGGTGCACATTTTACCACCTACAAAAGAATACTTCTTGATTTTAAATTCAATTAACACTAACTAGGATATCACACAGACACGTGGCCAACTGGAGTCCTTTTTCCCAGAGCTTTATTTTGGTCAGTCAGCAGGTACTAATTCAACAATTGACATGGGCATCATCTGTATAGGAGCTGCTGTGGTGTTGTGTTAGTCCCCTAGGATTACCATACAAGTACCACAAACCAAGCTGTGTAAAATCGCAGAAATATATTCTCTCAGGTTCTGGAGGCCAGAGGTCAGAAATCAAGATGTTGCTGGGGTCCTATTCCCCCTGGAGCCTGTGGGGGAATCTTTTCTTGCCTCTTCCTGGTTTACAGTGGCTGCCTGGTGATCCGTGCCCTTTTTGGCTGGCAGCTGCATCATTCCAGCCCCTGCCCTGTCCTCACATGGCCTTCTCCATGTGTGTCTCTGTCTTCACGTGGCCATCTTGTTGTAAGCATACCAGTTATATTAGAGTAAGGGCCCACCCTACTCCAATATGACTTGATCCACACTACATCTGTCATGAACCTATTTCCAAATAAGGTCACACTCTGACGTAGGAACCAGGGCTAGAACTTCTTCCACATCTCTTTTTGAAGGGACATAGTTCAAGCCACAATGCATTTTTTTTTTTTTTTGACAGGCAGAGTGGATAGTGAGAGAGAGAGATTGAGAGAGAAAGAGAGAGAGAAAGGTCTTCCTTTGCCGTTGGCTCACCCTCCAATGGCCGCTGTGGCCGGCGCACCACGCTGATCCGAAGGCAGGAGCCAGGTGCTTCTCCTGGTCTCCCATGGGGTGCAGGGCCCAAGCACTTGGGCCATCCTCCACAATGCATTATACTAGCTTTAGGTAGAACTGTATTCAAATCTGCAAGCATTTAATTTCTCTTAAGCCTCAGTTTTCTAATCTGTTTGTTATGAATTGAACAGAATTTGGCTCCACAAGCTCATGCAGCTTTTTAAACTCTGATTTCTTATGTTAAGGTTGATGGATTAAGGGTGGAGGCTTGGTATTATTATGGTGTCTGAGAGGTGGATCTGATGGGAGGGCTTCAGGTCCCTGAGGGCGTGCCCCCAGAAGGTAGCTCTCACAGGAGGACTGGTTATTTCAGCCGAGGTTAGCCTAGTTTCTCTCTCTGTCTCCTGTGGTCATTCTACCACATCTGCTCCCCACTGCGACCTTCTGCCGGATGCCACACTAATGGGAGTGCCACCCTGCGCTCTGAGCCAGATCAACCTCCTCTTCCCAAGAAACTCTCCTCAGGTATTTTAGTTGCAGTAACAGAAGGCTGACTGATATAATACAGAACTGGCATGTTCATGTGGTAAGGGGTTGTATAAAATGTACTTAAAGAATGCTTGGCAGGTGTCATTGTTTCTGATTTTATTTTGTAAGGTGGTCTACTAGGAAACACAAAGAAACTGACCCTCAAGGAATCTATTTAGGAGACAGAACAACCATAGAATTTAAAGAAAATATCACTGTAATTTTAACCACTTTTTTTTTCCAAGAGGAGTTTTATTGATGGCTTTGGTTCATTCCCTTCCAAAAGACCAAATGAAGTGAACAGTGGTAACCTTTAGATTTTATTGTCTTCATAACAAAACAGAAGACGAAGATTAGAACTGGATCACTTGCCCCTTTCTCTTCTTATCTCCTCCCAATTCAAAGTGTTTACATCTCTTAATAGCCAACATTCTCTTGGATCTGCAGTTGGGCTCCACACACTCAAGCCTCAGCACAATCTTCTTTGTAGTTTTAGCCTTTTTCCGGAAAATCGGCTTAGTCTGTCCCCCATAGCCACTCTGCTTCCTATCATAACGCCGCTTTCCCTGGGCATACAGAGAGTCTTTGCCCTTCTTATACTGTGTCACCTTGTGGGGCTGGTGCTTGCCACACTTCTTACAGAAGGTCCGGCGGGTTTTCGGAACGTTCACCATGTTGCCGGAACGCTATCGGCTCGGAAAGAAAACAACCACTTTTTCTTGACCCCATATTACCCTTCAAGTCTCAACAATTCAATTTTCTGCTCCTCTTTACAACAAAAGTCCGCGAAATATTGCTACAATCTCTCTCATTCTTTTCCTTCTCTTTTTATTTTGAAAGACTTATTTATTTGAAAGTCAGAGTTACAGAGAGATGGAAGGAGAGACAGAGAGAGATCTTCCATCTGCTGTTCATTCCCGAAACAGCAGCAATGGCCAGGGCTGGGCCAGGCCGAAGCCAGGAAACAGGAGCTTCTTCCGTGTCTCCTACATGGGTGCAGGGGCTCAAGGACCTGGACTGTTAGGGTCTGAAAAAGCCCACCACCCGAGGAACGACTCCAAGAGACTTTTCTCTCATGCAACCAGCAAAGGGTTAAAGATTTATTGATTATCCAGCATGCTGGGGCTGTCTGATCATACATGAGCAGAGCAGCCCCAAATAACCAAAGGTTAGGGTTTATAAAGGCAAAAACCGCAAAACCGGGAAGGGGGGAATACACGGTTGCTATGCATGGTTGCTATACACAGTTGCTAAGATCAAAAGAGAGTACATAAAATCAAAAGAGAGAGGGGTATTATGGGGGGGAAGCCATTGTAATCCATAAGCCGTACTTTGGAAATTTATATTCATTAAATAAAAGTTAAAAAAATAAAAAAAGAGAGAGTATGTGGTTACTGGGGTCAACATAACCTAAAACCTAAGTGAAATTAATATTTATCATAATCTTGACAATATCAGTTACAATCTTACAATTAGAATTAGGACTTGACATTAATGTAAGACACAGACAAATCACATCTTCATTATTAGCCCAGGTAACCTAGGTGCAACCTTTTTACTTTTAAGCTTGAGCAATCATGCTAGGGGGTTTTTGTGCTCTGCCAAGGGTGATGTAGTGCACTGCTATTGTCCGACTATTTGAGATCATAGTTTCAGACCAGAGTCTCACGGTGGGGGGGTGCTTTCTCAGAATGGAGTCTCAAGTGCTCCAAAATGGAGTCCCTACTGTCAAGGTGCTACTTCACTCTGTCTTATTTTTACAGCTGTACCAGGAAGGTTTAAACCTGTAAGCTTAAGCTTAACTTTTTACACCCGCACATATACAATTTTAACTCTTCAGGACCATCCTCCTCTGCCTTCCCAGGCCATTAGCAGGGAGTTGAATGTGAAGTGGAGCAGCCAGGACTCTAACTAGCACCCATATAAGATGCCAGTGCTGCAGATGGCAGCTTAATTTGCTGTGCTGGCCTGCCTGGCTGCCTGCCTTCCTTCCTTCCTTCCTTCCTCCCTTCCTTACTTCCTCCCTCCCTCCCTCCCTCTCTTTGTTTCTTAAAATTTGTTTATTTGAAAGTCAGAGAGGGAAAGACAGAGAGATCTTCCATCCACTGGTTGGTTCACTTTCCAGGTGGCCTCAGTTGTTGGGGCTGGACCAGGCTGAAGCTGAGAGTCAGGAGCTTCTTCTGGTTCTGCTATGTGGGTGCAGGGTCCCAAGCATTTGGGCCATCCTCCGCTGATTTCCCAGGCATATTAGCAGGGAGCTGGATCAGAAGTGGAGCAGCCAGGACTTGAACCTGTGCCCATATGGGATGCCAGCGCCACAGGCGGCAGCTTTACCCGCTGTATCACAGTGCCAGCGCTTCCCCACCTCATTCTTTCTTAAAGCCAGTTTCATCTTACTTTCCACAAACACTGCTCTTGTCAGGGTCATCAGCAGCCTCCACATCTCTAACCCAGTGGTCACTTTTCAGTCACCTGACATGACCTATCAGCAGCCTTTGGAACAACTCAGCATGGCCTCTTTTTGACACTTTTTTTCCACTTGACTTCTCAGAGAAATTTTCTTTGATTTTCCTCCTGCTTCCCTAGCGACCCCTCCTCAGCCTCTTTTTTTATCATCATCATCATGATTTGCATTCACCCTTTGTCCTCTGCCTGTGATCCCTAAACTGCCCTTGGTCCTCATATTTCTATCATCCTTGTTGCTGTAACATAGACGACCAGTAGTCTTCTCAGACTGAACACATCCCAGACTGAATTCTTGATACTGTCATCCCTACCCCTGCCTGCTCCTTCCCCTGTGTTAACTTCTTGTAAATAGCAATCATCTCCTTCCAGGCTTTCAGGTCACAGATTGTTTTGTTTTGCTTTGTTTAAATTTGAGAGTGCAGAGAGACAGAGCTTCTGTCTGCTGATTCACTCACCAAATGCCTGCGGCAGGAGCCAGGAACTCAGTCCAGGGCTCCTACCTGAGTGGCAGGGACTCACATACTTGAGCCATTGCCTGCTGCCTCCTAGGGTCTACATGAACTCCAGCTTCCTAGTTGGAGTTGGGTATCAAACCCAAGTACTGCAAACTGGGATGCAGGCATTCCAGCCTGAGTCGGGCTTTTTGTTTGTTTGTTTGTTTGTTTGTTTTAACCAAAGTGGGCTACAGGCCTTTTTAAAGTTTTCTTTTGATTAATATAAATAATAGATTTTATGTATTTCTTAGATACAATTTCAAAGATAATCATATTTCCCTCCCTCCATCAAACCCCTCCTTCCTTCCTTCCTCTTTTTTAATTTTTGCAAAAACCTAATTTCAATCTACTCTATAATCACAGGTTCATCGTAATAATGAACATGTAAAAAAGCAGAAAGGCCACAGTTCCACAGGATATAAACAAAGTAAAAAACAACAATCAGATCATACAATGCCAGCCAGAGTCTTAACTACTAGGCTTAACCCCACCCCAAGGTCACAAATCATGATCTCATCCTTGAGTCTTCTTCTTGTGCATCCCACAACCAGTCTATTGGCAGATGCTGTTGACTGTACCTGAAAAGTATGTCTCAGCTCTAATCCCATCTCCCTGCTCCCGCTCTAATCCAGTCACCATCCTCTCCTTCCCAAACACACAATAGGTTGTTCCCATGGTCTCCCTGTTTTCACCCTTGCAACTCCATCTTCCACCACATTAGAATCCACCTGGCAGCCAGAGTGAGTGTTTAAAACAAGATATAAAACTTTATTATTCTTTTGTTTAAAACTCTCACTTGACTTCCTGTTTCACTCAGAATAAAATCCAAAACACTTACCATGGCCTAAAAATGTTGAAGTGATCTGATCTGGCCCCTGATGTCACCTACTGTCACATGAGCCTTCATTGTGCCCATGCCCACAGACTAGCCTCTTTGCTATTTCATATGCTAAGAACATTTGTCACCTTGACATATGCTAAGGACATTTATCACCTTGATATCTATGTGGCTCTTATTTACTTAGTCTATAGTCAAGTGCAGTGTCACCTTATCAGAAAGCCTGTGACCCTGACCTGCCCACTCTGCTCTGTGCCTCCTATGTTATTATTTGTATTGTCTAGTAGATTATATGTGTACTTACTTATTACCTGAATCTTCCACTAGAAAGCAACCTCTGTGTGACTTTGTCACAGTTTTTGTTGCTTTACCCACAGTATCCAGAACAGCATACAATAAGTGCTTTTTGGAATAAGTAAACGGAAAAGAAAAAGCATTCCTTGAGCACCCATTGTCTACAAAGCTCTCTGTTAGGAGTTGGAACTATCACAGTAAATGAGACATGATTTCCAGAATTTATTAAGTTGCAGAGGATAAAGACAAGTGAACATGCAAATAAAGCAGTATGTTTAATTCTATGACAGAGCCGATAGCAATGCCATAGAAACACATAGATTGACTCCCACCCAGCAAAACCTGGGGCTAAGGGGCATAGGGAAGGCTTCCTGGAAGAAGTGGTATCTAAACTGACATCTGTTGAGCAGGTGCAGATTATTTAGGCAAGGAAGATGGTGACAAAAGTGGGAGGGGGGGTCACAATGACCCAGAGACAATCAGTGGGGTGCATTCTAGAACATGAAAGGCCATAAACCGCAGAGAAAGCTCTCCCTGGACAAAGGAGTTTCTTCTGGAAAAAATAAGTACGATCCAGATTGTGAAATAACCTTATAGCCATATTTTGTTTTCTCCTAAGGCCCTAGGGAGTTTTAACAAGGTTTTAAGCAACAGATAAGCAAAATGATATTTCTGCTTTTAAAAGACCGTGGTCACAGTAATGAGATAAGAATAGAAAGATAAATTGGGGGGACCAGTTTTGTGGTACAGCAGGTTAAGCTTCTGCCTGTGATGCCAGCGTGTCATATGAGCATGGTTTGATCCCAGGCTGCTCCACTTCCAATCCAGCTCCCTGCTCATGATCCTGGAAAAAAGTGGAAGATGGTCCAAGTACTTGGGCCCTGGCCACCCATATGGGAGACCTGGATGGAGTTCCAGGTTCCTGGCTTCAATCTGGCCCAGCCCTGGCCATTGCAGCCATTTGGGGAGCGAACCAGGAGATGGAAGATCTCACCACCACCCTCACTCCTGTCTGTAATTCTGCCTTTCAAATAAATAAATAAAAACTTTAGAAAGAGAAAGACAAATTGAAGATCTTAAATAGCAACTTTGAGTGTTGCTGTATAGAAATGCTGAAATCAAAGGAGTGCATGCAGTATGAAGTTAAAAGCCCTCATCTCTCAGTGTTCCCATTTCTCAAATAACTCACTATTGACAAGCTTCTGTGACTTTGTCCAGACTTTTAAAAAAGGAAATATATAATGTGCCAGGCCAGCGCTGTGGTGTAGCCAGTAAAACCTCCACCTGCAGTTCCAGCATCCCATATGGGGACCAGTTCAACTCTTAGATGCTGCACTTCCAATCCAGCTCTCTGCTATGGCCTGGGAAAGCGATAGAGGATGGCCCAATTCCTTGGGCCCCTGCACCCACGTGGGAGGCCCAGAGGAAACTCCAGGCTCCTGGCTTCAGATCAGCCCAGCTCTGGCTGTTGCAGCCATCTGGGGAGCGAACCAGCGGATGGAAGACCTTTCTCTGTCTCTCTCTCTCCCCTTCTGCGTCTCTGTAAATCTGCTTTTCAAATAAATAAATCAATCTTAAATATATATAATAAGTATAATTTCAAAGCAATACATTAAATATTAAACTAATACCAT